TTGAACATTTTGTATGATTGCCTATGTTAGTAACTTCGCATGCCAGACAGAAGACCCTGCTTTAAACTTACTGCCTAAACAGAAATACATATGCAGAATACTTAAAATAGAGTGATAAATATTCAATGCAGTATTATATATTCTCTATGACATTAGAGCACAGTAGGTAATATGTAATGAACTCTTGGAAAATATGATCAAACATATGGACTCATATTATTTTGGTCCTTAGTGTAATGCTTTGATTCAATTATCTCGCATAGTGCTTCATGCTAGATGCATAAAATGGTATCAGCTGAATAAAAAGGAAGTCTTTAGTATGCACTGACTCATTTTAATTGTACAAACACACCAGAAAAATGTTCCTTTATTTCTCAATGTTGAAATTTCATTAGAATGTATTGATTGTATAAAATTCTTAAAAGGATTAACATTTCTACCCATAGAGGCTTGGGTTTGGTTTCAGTAATCTTTAGCATTTTCTATTACTGTTTTAAATGGTAAAGTGTTTTAAAAAGCTAGTACGTTAAGATCCTAATCAACACAATCAATTGACTGAAGAATGACTAATTCCTTTGATTAGCCAAGGATGGATTGTAGCTTAATTTATCAGCTATGATATGTTGAGACTTAATTAGTAATTGAGATGTGCCAAAAGACTTATTATATTGTATTCTATGGTCTTCTGTTCTTGGCTGCCTATATAATAAAATTAATAGGTTATAGAGAAAATAATATTTGCGATGCATATTTCAGAAGAATAATGAAAACCCTATGACTGTAAAAGTAAAATAAGACCCAATGAGACAAATACACAAAAAACACATAGTTCATAGCATGATCAGGAGAAAAATTATTATAGCCTTTGCTGACTTGAATCGAACACTTTCTTCTGGTTAAAAAATTTTGGAAAAAGACTTAGAATATTTAGAAAAAATGTTCTGATCTTTTCACTGCAGTCACCTTTTATTTTATCTTCCCATCATTGTGGTAGGCTACATGTCTGAACCCTGAAGCACGAACAAGAAAAGGTCATAAACAGTTCTGAAGATGATTTTAGGTTTGAGGGAGGTCTACAGCTTTGCTATTCAAAGCACATGGTCCAGCTTCACTGGCACGACAGAAGCTTGTTAGAAATGCAGAACCTTGCACCCCACCTCAAACCTGCTGAATGAGAACATAGATATTTCAAAAGTGATCAGGAGTTTTGAATGTGTATTAAAATTTAAGAAGCACTGGTCTAAAGGAAGTATGAGAACATAGAAAGCTAAAGGATGGTTTAATAATTCTTAAACTTTATGTGATATTCATATTAAATTATTTTTGAGATTAAAATAAGGAAATGGGGTTTTGAAAGCATTTCTTGAAAATGAAATTAACTGGAAATAACATTATAAAATTTCATTAATTTTCAGCATTTTCATTCAGGGAGATAGTTTAATTGTGATCTCAACCCACTTGATTCCTTTTAATTATAGTTGTGTTAACAAGTATGACAGCTCCCTTACGTAATATTTTCATATTCTAAAATTTAGATATTATTTTTCATCATAGTCTAACATTTAAAAATGCTCTTTCATAAACATATCAATTACTTAATTAAAGAAATATTTACTGATACACCCATATATACATAACAATGTGCTGTTCACTAGTGAAGGAAATTCAATAAAATGTAATCATTTGGAAATTATTCAGTATTATATATGAGTGGGGAAGTGGTTTATAACATTATAAGTTATATATCAGAGTTGAAATAAAGAATAACTGGAAATGTAAAATAAATGTTTAAAAATTATTTGGTTCCAGATGTTGAAATAAAATATAAAGTTTAGATGTTATTTTCCCATACCGGACATATTCAAAAATTTTAATTGATTTGAGCCTTTGAGAAGTGGGTTTTGGAAAATTAATTTAGCTAACACCCTGCAGGAGATATCTTAAATAGGAAAGATTGAGGTTAAGAAAGCCTGTTAGGAGATAATGCGTGATGCATGAAATGATGATCATTTACAATAGCATGGTGGTACACTGAATGGGAGAAGAAAAAAAGTGAGCTGAGAGCCATGAAGAAAGAAACAAAAGCAATGGGATACATTGACTGACCATGTAAGAGGTATACTTGGTTAAATAGGAATGTCAAAGATATTTGAGCCCATAATATCCTGAAATAAAAAATAAATAAATAAATAAAAACATTTGAGTCAGGTTACAGAACGGGTGATCATTTATAGTATTTATAATAAAAGTGAAATGTTTTAAATATCTAATATATAGGCTCCTAGCTACATAGACCATACCTAGGAAGAATTAACTGTGGGCAAATTAAATGTTAGGTTAGTTTCATATAGTTTTCTGTTTTTATTTAATTATGTCATTATTTGAAATGTTTTTTGTCAAATACTGTAGTTTTTAATGTAAAGTATATTTTAATTGTCTTATACTGGTATTAAATAATGCATTTTACTGTGAATTCTTTGGGAAAATTATCATTGAATAATTGAAACTAGAATAAGAAGAAGGAAAATGACCTCATGCATTATGTGGAACTCCAATTATTTACTGACAACATTTATAGATCCATTCCCCACCTACTCCTTCTTAAAACATTGGTGTTTAGGCTCTTAACATTATCAGTAAGGCTATAATTTATTGAAGATGATCACTGATACAGCCTAGAGTTGCTGGCAATTTTTTTAATGAAAAAAGAGAAATGAAATGAGAACAATTGTTGCTTTAATAAGTTTCTTTTGTAGAAGAGAGCAGAAACTCTCACAAATTCTTCCTTGCCCCTTAGGAAGAGTGTAAGTGTTTGGAAAATGCCATCTAGCACATCCTAGTACATTAAAAAACAAAACCAAAACCAAACTGTTTTAGTAAGTGTTCCTATTACTTAGAATACAATCAATTTGAGTTTCTGTAAGTTCAGTCATTTGTGATATAAGAACATTTATTTATCAGATAATTTCTCAACTCCAAATAGAGTATTACATGGCATGTTTTAAAACAATTTATATCTGTCATGGTGTATGTCTTCATGTGCTGTGGAGGGCTCTACTCTCATTTGATACACTCAAGGGAGAAACTGCTCCACCATTAATATTATTTCTGTAGCATATTTATATTAACCTTTAAATCTTCTTAATAAGGAAGCAAAAAAAGTAAACAGATGGCTAACAAATAATTGTGAATGTAAATGCCAGAGTACTTAAAATGCATTGCCATATTAGAGAAGTGGAACTCAGTCCTTTTGGTCCTCAAACCCCTTTGTATAACACATGTTTTATCGTATCCTGAAATAAAATCCATACCTATCTACACAAAACAATTGAAATAAAAACAATATACTAACAATAATATGAGCAAAGAATAAAATAAAAGTACCTGTGATTTAAAAATATGTATTTTCATATATAAATGCTTGGGCTTAACAACATAGAGGAGGTAATGGTAGTCAAATATTTTTTATCAACTTATATTTCATTTATACATTTATTGAAACTGTTGAGCATCTATTATGTGAAAGACTTTGTTTCAGGCACTGTGAATACAGTAGTTAAAAAAAGGAAATATTTCCTTTGTACATGGGATTATAGCAGAAAGACAGAATGTATACACAATAAATAAATGAAATGATATATGTAGAGTATATTGAAATATATGAAATGTCAAGGAATGTTTCAAAGAAAGGCTGGAAGGAAGAAGGGATCTAGCTAGGTGACTATCTAGAGGAAAAACATTCTAGGCAAAAGGAACAAGTAGAAAGGTCCTGGTTGAGGAAAGGAGCATGTTACATGTGGTGCAGGGTGAAGCAAGAAGGACCCTGTGGCTGGAGAGGAGTCAATTTCGGGGGGCTTTAGTTGGGGATTGAAGTGAAACAAGATCAGAGAGGTAGCTGGTAGTCATGATATTGAAATGCAGTATTGTTTGAAAGTCTTTTATTTTTATTTAAAATGGAATGAGAAGCCATTGGCATGTTTTGTGCAGGGAAGCGACATGATCTGACTTGTATTTTAATAGGATTCCTTTGGCAATTCTGTTGAGAAAATAGTGACAGGAGAGGGTAAAGAGCCATCAGTAGGCTATTGCTTTAGTCAGACTGGAGTGTCATGGAGTTCTAGACCAGGGTAGTGCAGTAGAGTTAGTTAGAGGTGGACAGATTGTGCAAGTGTGTCAGAGATAGAGCTGACAACACGATTACAACCTCCTACTCACTACTATTTATTATATTACAAATTACTTCATTGGAGTAGTAATTTTTTCTACTCTAGAAAATTCTAGGGGTTCCACGGTCCAACCTAAGGGGGAAGAGAGGAGAGGCTTTCAATACAAAGCGCTCCTGGTTTTTATTTGTTTGTTATGTTTTGTTTTTGCCTTTACTTTTAACTCTGAGTAGGATTAAATTTGAAGAAACTGTGACACTGTTTAAAAAACATTTAAATATCATTTCATTGTACAACAGAATACATGATCCCTGTAGTTTATTTTAAATCCCCATTTTGTTTTCAAAGTTTTAATTTATGTTAAATTACTCTGAAGAAATTGACATGCAGAATGAACTGCATCTCCACTCTATATGGGAATTATAATTCCTAAAAATTGTTCAAGTGCCAAAACAAAGAGAAAGAAGTGTAATGATGTCCCTTCTTTAGAATTTGTCTGAAAGAAATTATCTACAATTATCTTTTCATAAATTCTAGACATGTTACTCGACAAGTAATGTTTCTCAAAATGAATCATAATTTTATGACTAATAGAGAAAATAAACATTTTGTTTGCTGTTATTAATAAATTATTGCCACTTTAAATTTAAAATGACAAGTGATATTCATAATGTTGTCAACTGACATTTTTTATTTGTTTTTTTGTTTGAAGCTTTTGGAAACATGTACAAAACATTGATGAAATGCTGGAAACCAGTTGAAACACAGTAAAATCCAACCCGACAAAATAGGACTGCTTTCTCTTCATCCACGCTGGGATTTGTCAAGAAAGGAACTATGACAATATATCAGTTTTTGCTACTGTTTCTACTCTGGGTATGCCTGCCACATTTCTGCTCTCCAGAGATAATGTTTAGAAGGACTCCTGTGCCACAGCAAAGAATTTTAAGTGCACGCGTACCAAGGAGTGATGGCAAAATTCTGCATCGTCAAAAACGTGGCTGGATGTGGAATCAATTCTTCTTACTGGAAGAATATACAGGATCTGATTATCAGTATGTAGGCAAGGTAAGTCTATATTGAAATGGCAAATACTTATATTCTTTTTCTATATGTTTTACTGAGGAAAATTCGAAGGTTATCAATATCATCATGCTTATAAAGTTGATTCTCTAAATCTCCCTAACACATTATTGTTTAGGAAATACAAATTCTAATTTGAAAAATCTATGGAATGAATCTAACGTGATAAATATAGGAATTCATTTACCACAATTAATTTTTCCCAGTAGCTCATGGATTAAAGAGGTACTAAAAGCTGCAATTTAAGAATTTTTAGTTAGAAAGCAATGGTTGTAAGAAAAATG